GTTCTTTCGAAGAGTCGTGGTTTCGTTGATAAGAACTATCGGTTGGTAAGGGTTGTAGAATCTCTTTAGTAAGATATCACGGTTGTCTTTCCGCAGCTGGATGGATTGACAAAGGCGACGAATTGGCCACTCTCGAATTTGACGTCGAGGTCCGTGAAATGAAGTGTATCCTGTAATGGATAGCGGAAACGTTATTGAACCCAATGTTGGCTTCAGTGCGTGTACACAAAGACCATACTTGAGCCTTAACAGCCCGAGCATGCTCTCACTCGGCCTCTTTCGGACACAGATTCTGCATGCTGTATGCAGATGCTATCGCTTGGGCGACGTGTGATCCAGAGCTGAAGAACCTGGCCAGTAGATATTCCGCCTCGAATAGTTCGCAAACTAGAGAAGTAGTCTGTTGGCTGGTACTTTCTGTATGCGGGACCTTGGCCAACGTATCTGCCAACATTGTCAATAATCGCCTACGCCTGAAGCATGGATTCGATCATGGGAGTCACTTACCAGAAGATGATTTCCATTGCGCAGTTCGACACTATCAGGAGAGGCGAAGACGAGGATGGCGTACCAGGCCCTCCGGAAAGCCTTCATTTGGTGGTCCCGCTGGAGGCTGGAATATCTTTAGATTGAACAATATGTCATCCTTCGTTTCTCGCAGAGCTCGACCAATATGCGGAGAATATGAATAACCAATACTGCGCCATCTCACATCAGCAACTCCGCTTGCTCATTGAACACTCGAATCGTGAACTGCTTATAGTTCCCTCCAGAAACCAAGACCTTGCTCTTGTCATTGGCGAAAACCACCCTGGGTCTGATACCGAGGGTACCGTTCGACAACGTAATTGATGGAAAGGCCAAGTCGACCACGGCGATTCGAATGCGCTTGAGCAACAGCTTGAAGCAGTATTCAAGATCAACAGACATTTTGATGCCATGCTTCGCGTGGATGAGATTGCTACGTTGATGGAGCAGCGTACATCTTACCACGATACTCAAAACCCCCTTGTGACCATCTTCCTCCGGAAGCTGGAATAGTAGGAGGCATTTCCTTGACGTTGAATCGGGGTATCTAGTTTGAAGATGAAATTCTCGCCCGGACCCATTTGACCATCGACTATGAGAATTTACCGAGTGAGTTCGCAGAGATCTCTGGTCAACGTTTCTGTCCAAGGCATGTACGACGGAAGGCCCTGTTGTGGTGAGGAACAACCTTTGACAATTGTAGTCTTTGGCTCTAATCGAATAACAGATTTTGGAAGGAGTTCGGTCGACAGGGTATGGTTGATGGGATGTATCTCTAGCTGCAAAGCCTGGGAAGGTCGTGTAGATAATTCCGCTGCCCAAGCCTGCTGTGCGGTCGCGCTCTTGCAACATGTAGGGTTCGTGTTGCAAAATGTGTATTTAGTACTCGGTGTAAGTTAAAGCCACGACGTCTTGTGGCGGAATGCTTT